CGCCATGTGGTCTCCTCCGGGGCAGGCGGGATTTGAACTCATGCGGAAGTGGCTTTAGCTTCTCAGTGCTGTGCTTTAACCTGCTGTGCCACCAGGGAGGGCCAAAAGTAGATTTTCTTTTTAAAGCAGTTTTAAATTCACAGCAAAATGGAGAGGAAGGTACATTAATGTCTCCTACCTATTGCCATCCTCCACAGCTGCTGAACCTCCACTGACATGTCGTCATCACCTAAAAGCCAGTTTGCATTAGGATTCACTTCTGGTATTGGACATTTTATGGGCTTAGACAGATGGAAAATGCCATACAGATACTAAGCGTCACTATTACAGCATCATACAGCCCAGTTTTGAAAGTTTCACCAGTGAGTTTCCCAGGTGAGAGAGGGGCTTTAGGTGTATCCAGAAAGGCAGTTTTATAAAGGGAAGGGGAAGGTAAAGGATGCTTGCAGACATGAGCAGATGCCCAACAGCTGCCCCCAACAGGGACAGGAGGCTGGGGGGAGGGGAGGGGGTTGCAGGAGGCTGCTGCCTGTGGGGCTCTGCAGGGCTGGAAGCTGGAGATGAGGGGCTCTGGCACAGTCTCAGGAGGGCAGGGGGGCTGCTGCCCCTTGCCAGGGCAGAAATCGCATTGAGATCCTCTGTTTTCTTTGAGAGGAGCTTATTCCTTTGTGGAGTTGTTTGTTACCTTGTTAACCTAATTCATTCTAGGGTGTGACTAGTTTGCTTTGTAGGGGCCAGGGATTCTTTGCGCTGGCCCTCACTAGCCGCAGCCCCACCTCTGGTATATATGCCTTACCTCATAATCTCTGTAGCAGCCTTGTATTTGCTATAGCAGCTGGTGCCTAAGGATTTTTCACTTCATAGTTCAACTGCTATGTTAATCACGCTACCTCCACCTCCAGATCCCAGCATTGCATGAGCCAGGTTTCTGGTACAGAGGTGCCTCCTTTCCAAATTTCTACTTGCGACTTCTATCAGCTTCATTGCTCTAAAAATCCTCCATGTTGCACCTATTCGCCCCTCTGTCCCCCCACAATTCCTGATAACCACTGATCTTGTTGCAGACGCCATAGTTTTGCCTTTTCCAGAACATCACATAGTTGGCAACATTCAGTAAGAGAACAGCAAGGTGAGTGAGCAAGCTAAAATGTGTTTATTTGAGAATAGTAGAGAATGACAATGTGGGGTTCAAAGATTTGGGCAGAAACCCAAAGCATGTCTAAAGAAGGGACAAAGGTTAGAGCTTTTTTATAAAGAGAAGAAAGGATGAGGTAATGACCAGGTGGAGCCTGGTAAAAGTAGCCAAAAATCCACTTTATCAGTTCTTTCAAACAGACTATTCTTGTTTTTGCTGACTTCTTGGAATGTTGCCTATTTGGCCCAGTCCAGGGCTGTAGTCCAACTTAAAGAGGACACTAAAACAGCTTTTTCAGTTGTGGCCTGCTTCAGTTCTATTTTAAATGGCTTCAGTGATGTCAACTTTTTGCAGGTGAAATTGCCACCTTACCTTCTTTAATCCTCACATTTACCCTCTGTGGGAGGAACTATTATTTCTTTTGCAGTTGAGGAAATTGAAACTCCAGAGATAAATCACTAGCCTAAGAACACAGAATGAGTGATAGGGGGTCAGGGCTTGGAACCCAGGCAGGCCAGCTCAAATCCCAAGCTTATCCTGCCTCTGGGTCTTGGAACTCCTGTTTTATTGAAGAGGTGGGCCAATCCACAAGCATCTGCATCTTAAAAATGGAGTGTGGTTCCTTGGTCCAAGTCTTTCCTGGCCAGGAATGGAAAATGAAGAGCCAGTGGCACTAGGCCTGGTGTCTTGTTGGCCACTTGGGGTTGACCAGCAACCTGGGAAGCTGAAGGGAAGCTTAATATTAGGTCTTTTGAAACCTCCTCAAAAGTTTAACCCATTTTTGTGTTTCTCCTGGACCAGATGCCCTGAGGATGAAATCAACAGGAGCTCCTAGAGGCAATGTTCTGTGGGGCTGCAAGACCAGCCTGGCAGGTCAGCTGCCTGATGAGGGACACAGGCTCATCCCCTCTTCCTGCCTGCTTTGAACCCAACCTCTGCTCCAACTTGTCAGATTTCCGCAAAGATGAGTTTTTAGAGGACAGTAAGGTTAGGAACCTCTGAGTGGGCTCCGGAGATCCTTGAGAGAAGCCAGATCCTTGCAAAACAGAGGAAAAGAAGTGGAATCAGGAACAGCTACTCCCAAAGTTATCCCTGTGGGATTCTGTCCTTGAGGAAGGCTCTCCTGAGCATTTTAAATGCTCAGCTGATACTCTCCACTTTTGTACCCAGTTTTTCTTCCTATGTAGGCGTTCATCACTGTTCTAACAAAATAATTGAGTTACGGGTAGTTCAGGCTGTGAGTCTCATGTGGACCTTGGGTGTGTTTTTGTTTACACTGCCCGAAGTTAACGGGCAGGCAGGTTGGGTTGTCACATAAAATGCAAAAATCCCAGCTACACTGCATTTCGACAAAAGAACCATTTTTTAGTATGAGTATGTCCCATTTAGTCTATTTCAAAAGTTTACTTGAAATTCAAGTTTAACTGGCTTTTCAGTGGGTTTTTGCCGTGCAGCAACATTCCGTCCGGCTCTCGACCTCACTTTCTCTATCTGAAACGTGGGGGCAGGGTCCGCCAGTGCAGGCGGGTGCCGGCTGGACCGCCAAGAAACCGCGCGGCGCTTGAGTTGAGTCGCCAACAGCCTGGCCCTCCAGACCGCATTGCCCCGACTTCGCTCGCCAAGGCGGGGCAATGCCCAGTCCCGCCCCCGGCCTGAGGCAGTCGCCATGGAGACACGGGTAGCCTGGAGCCCACCCCCACCGGGCCACGCGTTTCCGCTGCGTTGGACTCTTCTGATTGGACAGCTGTCTGGACGCTACCACCAGCCCCGTGCCCACTAAGGGGTGGGGGCGGGGTCTTGGCCTCGTGGGACTCTCGCTCTGAAGGCCAGTGCGTGTGGCCTCTCTAGGATGCTCACGCCGGGGAGACCGAACCTCAGGTCGGAACCGTGTCCGTGGCCTCGCCTACTAGAGCTTACATTCACGCTTCTCCCTGAGAAAGGACGAGGGGACGGGAAAGTCGGCAATGCCCCTGGGGAGCCTATTTAGTCCCAAGATCTGGAGCACCGGAAGTGCTGGCGACGTGTCAGTGCGCCCTATCCTAAACCTTCCCCCCTCGGCCACCTTTCCCAGTCAGCTGCGGGATTCCGGGGCCGCCTGGGCGCTGCACCCCGCCACTTCCGCATTGAACCATCGCTTCAACCGAACTCTCAACCTCTGCGCGCGCTCCATCTCGTGCCTGATGGTAGGGCTGGCGCCGGGGAACAGCCACGCCCCTTCCCGCGCCTACTAGCCAATGGGCGGGCGTCTCCTGGCGAGGTAGTGGGTAATTAATGAGGGCCGGTCGCTGATTGGCCGTAGCGTCGCGGCCGGGGCTGGGCGGCGGGGTAGGTTGTTCCTGAGGTGGGAGGCGGCACCCGTGGCTGAGGAGAAGGAGGCCTGAAAGCGACATGTACCCGGCGGCTGAGGCGGAGCGGCCCGTGGTGCTGTGTCTCTGAGGCCGGGGCGGCCTGGCGGCCGACCGAGGACGAGGGTCGGCGGAGGCTGCCCGCTGTGGTGGCCGCCATGCTGGGCCCCCGCGCGGTGGAGGGAGCCGCCGTGGCGCTCCTGCGACTGCTGCTGCTGCTGTTGCCGGCGCTCCGGGGTCCGGGGCTTGGCGTGGTCGGCTCCGCTGGGGCCGGGCTGCCCGAGAGCGTCATTTGGGCCGTCAACGCGGGCGGCGAGGCGCATGTGGACGTGCATGGGATCCACTTCCGCAAGGACCCTCTGGAAGGCCGGGTGGGCCGAGGTGAGAGCCCCTCAGCCTGGCGGCGGGGTGCGGGGCCTGCCGTGCGGGGGCGCCGCTGGCCGCGGGCCCCGAGCCCCTTCTGCGACCCGGGGGCCACTTCTCGGGAGAAGTTTCTCCCCGCAGTATCTTCGGGGATCCGGTCAGAGCTCAGAACCTGGCACCGGCTCGGGACTACCATGAACCATCGAGGCAGAGAGTTGGCGAGAAGTTGAATCTGGACCTCACATCTTGCATTTTCTTAACCCCTCACCTCCGCCCGCGCTGGGGAAAGACGAGGGCGGCCGTTGCCACCTAGGCCTCGGGTTGTCGGTTGTCGCGTTCCGGGCCTGCCCGGTCACCTCGCGAGGCGATCCTGCCGGCGCTGACATCGGCCGTTTTCCTTAGCCCATCTGTGGGAGTGGAACTTGACTCTGAGCCAGAATAGAAAGGAATCTTCGCTGAGGATGGGCCAGGAAAGTTTGATCGTAGGCTCCCCCTCCCATCCCCCTTTGGAGGGAAGAGTATGTGTGCTTAAAAGTGGAAGCTGCAGGCCGCCCCCAGAGGGTGGTTCTGCTGAAGCCACCATGCGCACGAGGCTGTGGCGTGCTAACTGGGTCAGCCGGTGCAACGCCTGAATGCTCAGAAAGTGCATGGAGCCCGAGGTTGAGTCCAGCCCGTGGGGAGAAGTACTTTGACTTGACTGGGGACCATAATTTCTCAGAGCTATGCGGTCCTCGAAGCGCGTGCAAAACTTGCTAGGGCAACTGGTTAAAAAAATGCAGATTCTCCGAGGCTGCCAGGCTGGTAGTTTGCACCTCTAGACAACTAGGAGACGGATCTTTCATTCTCTGTCCCCGATGCCCAGATCTGGCTCTTGACTCTATAAGGGTTTAACTTAGCTCTTCCAGGTTATCACAGCGTCCTAGAATTTGGCACAGTAGGGAGCTTTCTGCTTCCATGCATGTGAGGTCTTGGGACGCAGGGCTGTGTTCTGAAGTTTTTTGCCTTGGAATTTATCATTTATTCAGTCCTGGCATGTAAGTCGCAGTAGCCTGGGTTCAGCTGAGTCAGGGCCTCTGTCTTTAGCAGTTGTAACAGCAGCCAAAGCCAGACTTTATAGCAGTTCATGACTGTCTTCATTCTGGACCCCTAATTTCCTGGGTGTGGGCAGGGAGCTAAGGGTTCTTGAGGAAACTGGAGACCGTTTGTGGACTTTGCCTCTTGAGATACTGTGAAGACCATGCAGATGGTTCCTTTCACTTACAGATACCGGACTTTATTTTACATAGGTTACTGTGGTCCTTGGAGGCCCATTGTGCAGAGGAGGAAGCTGACTAAGACCACACTGCCTGCTCGCCTTTTTGAGAAATCCTGTGTTTTTTTTGTTTTTTGTTTTTTGTTTTTTTTTTTGAGAAATGTTGGTTTTCATTTGCTGGAGCAGGTGCTGGTGGTGGGGGAAGGTGGATGATCTGGTCAGCTATGCTCACTATCTTCGGGTTATTGACTGGTGGTTTCTGTTCCTTTGGAGGAGTTTATTGTGGCAGGTAAAATTAAATGAGATCTGCCATCCTTGGTTGCACAGCACTACAAAGCTAAAGCCACTTCTGCATGAATTCAATCCCTGCCTGCCCCAGAGGTGACCCACATGGGCAGCAGACATCTCCTGGCCCACCCGCTGTTCCCTTCAGCAGTGTACTTTGACTATCTGTACACCACCCCTCTCACCACCCCTGCACCTCTGGCCTGTACCCCAGTTCTGTATGCACAAATAAATAAATCTTTAAAAATAAAAACCAAACAAAAAATTAAATGAGATCTATCAAAGCTCATGTACACTGGAGTCATATCGTGACCCTGTTCTCTGGTGGTACCTTCTCTAGTGGGAGGTTCTCTGTTCCACTCTCTGCTAGCCAGTGTGGATATAAATTGTAGCCTTATAAAGATAGGAATAGAGGGATGGTTATCAGCTGCAGATAGGACGGGACTGCATTATCTAGGTTCCTGAGCAGTGCTTTGCCAGCAGGTCTGAGGCTACGATGTGAGTCCACTCTCAGGAGACAGTTCTGGTTTCTTTATGTGCTAAGAAGTCGCCACCAAGAGAAGTGAAGCTGTTCACTCTGCTTGCACTTCTGTGGCAGTATCAGCATAAGAGTGTGTGCTAGGTATTTGGACACCCTTGTCTCCTACAACCAGTTACACCAGTTGCAGTAGGAACTTTATGTTTTATTTCTTTTCCCCACATGCCTGTGATGTTGTTTCCATCATGCTGAGTAAAGTTCATTTTATGTTTGATGAATTCAGGTATTTGTTGCCAAGTTAGTCCAGATAAGGGTTTGGCCTGCCTTTGAACTTGCTGTTTCTCTGTAGTGTCTTTGTAACTTAGCATTCTCCTAACTCTGAGTGGCTCAGGGCACCTCCTGGCTTTTGCTTTCAAAGGCTCTTCATAATGTTTATTAAATTTCATTTGTGCCTTGAGGATAGTTAGTGCTCATAGGAGATACCAAAAGGTTAAATTGTGAGCTTCAACAGATGGAAGTATCACTACAGAGGTGGTTCTGAAGTAACTTTTGGGGGTGTGGGGGGCGGTGTGCATCTGGTACATCCAGGTTCTTAAGTTGCTTATTCTGGGTTCCTCTTGATTCTTTGATGAGGAATAGGCCTGGGTACTTGACCTACAGGACATAGAAGGGTATTTTTCTTTTAAAGGTTTACTTTTATGTATGCCTACGAGAACTGGGGTATAGGCCAGAGGTACAGAGGGAGGGGTGAGAAGAGTCTCCGGAGACAAAACAGGAGAGGTCTGCTGCACCATGTGGGTTGTTAGCTCCTTGGTCAGGGATTGAACTGTGCAGTGGCTGGTGATAATTTGAAAGCTGAGCTTTTAACCTCTGTGCCACCAGGGAGGCCCCGAGGCTATTTTCTTTTATAAGAAGATACCTGCTAGTCATTTATAAGGCCTTAAAGAACTTTAACCTTACCTTCATTCTCAAACTTTAAAAACGGCAGTCTGAATGCTCTCGTGTCCAGAGTACGTTAAATTGTCTGTCTTTTCTTTGCTTGACCTTTTACATGGAATTAAATGTAGGGCAGAACTTGACTCCAGAGTGGCAAAAAGCTGGCTGAGGGCCTGAGCCTATCAGATTACTAATTCTGTAAGCCTAAGGAAGACCCTTTCCCACGCAGCCTTTCTTTTGGCTGAGGGGAAGGATTTGGCCTTGGGGGAGGTAAGAACTTGAGAGATAGGATGAGGTTGCTGCCTTTGATTTGGTTAAGACCCTAGAATTTGTTTACTTTTCTCCCTGTATTGTCACATAAAAGGCAGGCTTCATTTGAAGACCCTCTAGCGAGAGCTCTAAGTTAGAGAATTTAGGTATGTATATCCCCATTTTACAGGTGAGCAAACACTAGAGAAAGCAGTGTATTCCATATCACATAGTAGGTGACAGCCAGGATTCAAATCCAGTTCTATCTTACTCTGAAACCTCAGCTGAATTCAAGTAGCCTGTCTACTTCATTGTTTAGAATTAAAGCAGCAGGAATCATCTAGGCCCTTTAACCTTCTCTTTTGGTTAATTGAATCCTTGGTTTCCCTCCCTCTGTCCTGTAAGAATAATTTGTGAACTGGCCTACCTGCAGAAAGAAGTGATTAGGAGGCCTAGTGAGGGGTGGTGATACTGTAGTTCTGCAGGGAGCTGCACTGTGGGGTTCTTAACTGTAGAACCCCACTTGGCTGGGTTCCCATTTCTGGGTTCCCAGTGCATTTTGCCCATTCTGCCTGGTCATTTCACCAGAGTGGAGGCATTTGTTCAGTCTGTGTCTCACATACTAGAGGAGAAACCACTTGAAGAAAATAACTTGTTCTACATTACATAGGAGAACTGGGATTCATATCTAGGCCTCTTATTTTAAAAGCTAGGCTGCATATTTCAAGTAGCTTGGCTATTCCCATTGTCTAGAATGGAGAAGCAATAGACATCATATGTGCCCTTTGGCCCCCTTCCTAACTGTCTAGGTTGTATTTTGCCAGTTTCAGCAGTGTGCTGACTGTACACTATATTTTAGAAAAACCTGTGAGTGCACCTTGGAGGGGTGAGAATGGGGAGGAGAAAAACTCCTTTTTTGTAGCTACATCTCTTGGGACTTGGGTGAATTTAGCTTTGCATGTGGCAGATCTCTTGGGAAAACCAGTGGGCTTTAAAATGAAAATATTTAAAGATAATTCCAAAGTTGTTAAGTAATTTTTGAAAACATGGTTGAGTTTCCTTAGTTGTGGGTCTAAGACTGACTGCTACAGATAGCAATCTTTATATGCCCCAGTATAATGGCTGAGCCTGGGAAGTACATCCTTAATCCTGTTTCCCAGCTACCCTTCTTGGATTTCTTGAGGAGAAATAGGAGGAAACACATCTGAAGACAAAAGTGCAATGAGTTTCCTCTTGCACTGTTTCATCAGTCCATCTGATCTAGCTCAACAGGAACTGTTAACAGTTATGCTTATTTTTTTGAGGGTTTGTGGTGGGGGGGCGCTTAATTACTTTTCATGCCCTTTGGGATAAAAGATCCTCTTAGTGAAGTTTTGGTGATTGAAAAGGTAAAGCTCCGGGAATGAGTGCTCTTGGAGGGGAATGAATGCTCTTGGAAGTTCCCCTGAAGCACTTAGGTGCCAAAGGTCTTCAGAGTCATTGTGTGGGATTGGAAGGTGGTTAAGATCTTAATTTCAAATTGGAGGAAAGACTAAGTCTGGAACTGAAATCACTATGTGCAAAGTTTGGAAAAATGAGTTTATGGAACACTGGAAAGCCTCAGTGTGTTCACAGGATAAAGGAGTCAATGAGATCCTACTTTCTGAAGGAAGAAGCATAACACTGGGACTGGAGTGTAGCGTCGTATATTTGAGGGAAAAAAATCTGTTTAGTTTATCTTGTGGGGTGGGGCGGGAAGAAAAGCATACAAGCGGGAGAAGGACTGGAGGTAATACAAGTTGTTGGTTCTTTTGCTACTCACCCAAATCAGTAACTTTACTTTTATCCTGCCTCATTTCCTGTTACCCTGTGAAATGGGAAAGGTGATTTCCCCAAGACTTGCATCTGAAGCAGAGATTCTAATTGCACAGTGGCAAGTTTTCTTTCCCTGCTGTGATGACTTCAGCCCTCTGGAGAGAATAGCATGGCTTCACCACTTTTCAGAAAACCTTTTTTCACTGCCATTCATTCGTTCACTTAGCAAATCTCATGAGAGCTTATTTATGTGCCAGGGACTGTGTTAGGTGCTGGGGATAACACTAGGACCTTTTTCCTTTATGGTATAACTGGGGAAATATACAAGAAAAGATATGAGGTTGGGTTTTGTAAATCTTATGTATAGTTAAGACAATGAGGAATGATTTTCCTGACAGATATCTGTGTATTTAGACTGAACTTTTGTGAGTGAGAAAAAGCTTTCTTTGAACTTAATTGTCTGGTAGAGTTCCTGACTAGCTCCCTTGTTTTATGAGGTTTCTTGAAGCTCTCCCTTTCAGGGAAGTAGGCAACTGTAGGATAATGCTTTGTTGTGATAATGAGTTACACTTGTTCTCTTCCCATCACTCAGTCTAGTGAGAAAAGTCATTTTAATGTATTTTCTGAAAGTTATGCTGTGAGGGTTACAGAAGCTGGTGGAGTGATTAGTTTTTGGTGTCTTTATTCTTGGTAATATCTATCTATTACTTGCATTTGTGTCTGGTCTGTTTGGGAGGTAGGTGCAGGGGAGGGTCATTAACTTTGCCCTGAAAATGCCTCTGGGGGGTCTCTGCTTTTGTGATTTGCATCTGATGTAGTTTCTTTGTCTTTTGCTCTCAGCCTCTGATTATGGCATGAAACTGCCAATCCTGCGTTCCAATCCTGAAGATCAGATCCTGTATCAAACCGAGCGGTACAATGAGGAGACCTTTGGCTACGAGGTGCCCATTAAGGAGGAGGGGGACTACGTGCTGGTGTTGAAATTTGCTGAGGTCTATTTTGCACAGTCTCAGCAGAAGGTAAGGCCTTGTCAGGCCCCTGCTTGACCAGTGGGTACTTGGCCACTCTTGGTCAAGCACCTTCCACAGATGCTGGATTGAGGAAATGCTGGATTCTTCTGCCCCCAGAGAAATTGTGTTCCATTGCTTATGACACTGCACTTTCCTTGGACGCTGGTGACAGAGGGCAATGCCAGAACCCTCAGCCTTGGCAGCCAGCTGTTATAAGACCTAACAGTGAAGGAACATGACTTTGATTTGGTCCGGGTAAAATAATTTAGTCACCTTGGAAGGTATCCAGCCCTGTCCTTCAATTATTTTTGCATTTGAAGTGCTGTTGTTGTTCAAGGGGTATGATGCTGATGGTTTTGGCATTATCTTCTTTTGTAATCTTGAAAGGTATTTGATGTGCGATTAAACGGCCATGTCGTGGTGAAGGACTTGGATATCTTCGATCGTGTTGGACACAGCACAGCTCATGATGAGATCATCCCTATGAGCATCAGAAAGGGGAAACTGAGTGTCCAGGGAGAGGTTTCCACTTTCACAGGGAAACTCTACATTGAGTTTGTTAAGGTAACAGTCCTTCTCTGCCTCACAGCTGAGGAAAAGCTCAAAAGAAAGCATGCGGGGGAAATGTTTGCTGGGATTGATCACTGTTTCCCATTTCCTAGGGGTACTATGACAATCCCAAAGTCTGCGCACTCTACATCTTGGCTGGGACGGTGGATGGTAAGTTATGCTTTGACCTGCTTTTTGACATGGGCTTAAAGGATATGGTTGAGAAAATTCTTGGATTAATTTAACTAACCATATATATATATATATATTTTAAAGATTTATTTATTTATGCATACAGAACTGGTGTACAGGCCAAAGCTGCAAGTGTGGTGAGAGGATTCATGAGAGACAGAGTGGGGGCAGAACAGGCCTACTGATGAAGTGCACTGCTCAGGGGAGCAGCGGGCGGGTCAGGAGAGGTCTGCTGCGCTATGTGGTCACCTCCGGGGAAGGGAATTGAACTCATGGCTTTAGCTTCTTAGTGCTGTGCTTTTTAACCTGCTGCGCCACCAGGAAGGGCCCAGCTAACCATGTTTTTGTAAGCACATAAAAGTCAACTTGTGGGGAACGTCAGTCAGTAGATGGGCCTGAAGTACAGCTTGGGGTTGGCTGTAGCTGTAGCTTTGAAGAAAGATCTATGTTCAAACCTTGCCTTAGAATCATCTGTTCTCTAATTTCACTATAAGTTAGGATTAATAAAGGTACCTTCTGGTTTGCTCTGAACTCTAGTCATTTGGAATCACCTAAACCTTATCCTTATTCTGTTTTTAACGTATTAGGGACAAAAAGGAAAAAAGCCAAAGGGCACAATTTTTTAGGGTTTTGGTATGCTTTGAGAGTCCAGTGTTGCTGGACGACATTGGGACAGAATGTCTCCTTGTCCTTGGGACCTAACTTTAGGGTTATCACTGTTTTTGGTTTCAGATCATCTTGGCTGCCAGCTTCCTAGGCTGATTGTGCAGGAGAAGCTTGTCTCTTAATCCCTTTTCTTCTTTAACTCATTTCTATGCCTTTTATCAACTCATCCTGAATCAGTGGAGGAGCTCATCCTATTGCCTTGATGTGTTACCACCAGATAGCTATGTAGCTTAAGTCTCTAAGGAGGAGATAGAGCAGAGGGATCAGTGTACTTTGAGAACCTGGAGCTCTGGATCAGATCTTTAGTTGCTATGTGGGAAGAACTTGAAAAAATTATGTTTTGGGGTGTGTCAGGTGGGTTAATGTCCCTCTCCAGTCTGGTCATCTAGGGATTCTAAAGAAGTAGAACAGGAAGGGGAGGTGGTCAGCCTCCCAGTGCAAAAGGTTGACAGTACACTGCTCTGTGGACCTTGGTTAGGCCATGGGATCTCTCTGTTATGGTCCATTTGACTAGGACCATAAATACTGTGGGTCTTAAAAGTGTTCCTCTCCTTTGTGTCAGATGTACCAAAACTGCAGCCTCATCCAGGATTAGAGAAGAAAGAAGAGGAGGAGGAAGAAGAAGAATATGATGAAGGATCAAATCTCAAAAGACAAACCAATAAGAACCGGGTGCAGTCAGGCCCCCGAACGCCCAACCCGTACGCCTCGGACAACAGCAGCCTCATGTTTCCCATCTTGGTGGCCTTTGGAGTCTTCATTCCAACCCTCTTCTGCCTCTGCCGGTTGTGAGAACAACTTACCATCCTGAACAGGGTGGAGGGGTGTGGGGAAGAAACCAAACATGTTGATTTTGGTTTCTGTATTTTTCACAATAACAAACAACAAAAAACCAAACAAAAACACACACACATACACACAAATTAAAAATGAGGCAGAGTGAGTAGAGAGCAGCCATCATCCACCACCTGGTCCCAGACCTGCTTCAGTCCTAAGTCCTTTCTCTGTGACTGACCCCAGCTGTCTCTTTCCTCCCTAGGGTGCCTAGGGTAAAATGGATCCTGCCTGTGCAAGGGTCCCTGTCTATATACCTAGTGGAAAGGACTCTGAACTCAGAGCAGACAACAGTTCCCTTTTTTGGGTTAGAAATTAACAGCAGGGAAATGTGACCTTATTGCTGGAGAAGACCAGTGCTGGGAATTCGGTATGTTTTGAAATTAAGTCTAGATAAATTTTCAAATGTCCTGGGATTGAGAGATGGAGATTTTGTGTGTCTGTGTGTGTGTCTGTGTGTGTGTGTGTCTGTGTGTGACTGTAAGAGAGGGAGAGAGATTATAATTTGTATGATAAAGGTGAAAATGGAGGGGGGAATTAAAGAAAAAGAAAAAATGGGTTGCTTCCTTACTTGGAAGCCTCTCTGATTTTCAGCCCATTGATGTTTCTACCTTAAGTGTTTGAGCTTTGTCATTGCTTGTCTCCCTGACATGTACCAATTAGAGGACTGTCTGGTATCCAAGACGATTACTTTATGTCAGGTCCTCAAGTTGCCTCTTGTTACCACAACAAATCATTTTGATTTCAGTGCCTGTTGGGGATTTAATTTCCTTTTTTAAAAAAATTTCTTTATTTGGCTCATTTGAAATCTCTTCTCTCTCAATCATCCCACTAAGTTATTGCCGAGAAGGGAAGGAGACCCTTGGGTTCTCTCTTCTTGAATGTCTTATCCTTTACCACCTCACCTTATTGGTACTCCCTCCCTGGATCTCTGAGCCAGCCTCCAGGAAGACCTGACCCAGCAGTTCTTTTACTGGCCCCTTTATAGGGTCTTGCTGCCAGGGGACAGATGCTTTCCAGCCTGCAGCAACAGAACACTTGACCTTAAAAGTCTCTTCTGGTCTTTGGATTAGAAAAGGCTATGTTAGCATAACTTAGGAACAACCTCAGAGACTTGAGCCCTACTAAGCGACTGACCACTATTTAGAGTGTCTGGTATCTGATGTTCATTTATTAACATCTTTTGTGTCATGGTTCAGCCCGTTTTGGTTTATGCCTAGAACTGTCCCCAAGGACCTAGACTGATTGGCTATATCTTCTGGCCAAGTAATATGTCTCACTGGTCTCAATAAGCCCCTCTGTTCTTTCATTTTCCGATTCAAGTAGCAGTCAGGTTCTTGGTATGGTGGGCTGAAAGATTTCCAGTCGGCCATAATCCTGCCAGTTCTGAAGGCAATCTTAGCATTTTAAGTGTCTGTCTTGAATTCCCTGGAGACATTTCTGCAGGAAATGAAGGTTCCCTATTTCTCTACTTTTTTTGGTTATTGTCAACCATTTCCCAGTTGGGGCAACAATAAGGGAGGCCTCAATCAAACTACAAGAAATTCTGTGGATGGAAGCCAGCAGGATTAGCTTCACTTGGACTGGAACAACATAGAATCCCAGGCCAAGCCCATCTTTTTAGAGTGTGTTCAATTTTGCATTGTTTGGATATGTTTCTAAAGAATTTCATGTATTTGAACTGCTCTTTATGTGACAAAGTAAGTAACCTTTGGGCTCATATCCTGGGTTTTCTCTTAACGAGTTATTCCAGGCTAGCCTAAATGTCCTTTGAGAGTCACAGTCCTTTATTTTAGCTGCAACTTGAGTCTTGGTACGAGGGTATTGAGTCAGGCAGCTGAACAGTTGTGCCCTCAGGCTACAACCAGAGGATCACTTTCTGGGGTGCTTCACAAAGCTACCCTGCTTTAATTGATGGTCTCCTGTAGCCTTGGTCCTGGGGACCACCTGCCTAGGACCGTGGACACCATGACTGTTACTTGGACATCTGTCTGTGGCTTTGGTTCCCATTCTATCACAACTACCTGAAGTGTTAGTCCACTGCTAATAAAATAGAGAAGATGAGGAAGGAAGACTTGCTTTTGCCTTATTTGTTTTTTAGTTTGCTTGGGTCTCTGAGGAAGGAGGGGCTCCCACCTCCTCATCTCAACACATCCCTTCAGTGACTCAGAGTCTCAGGAGGAAACCCTGGCTCCTGGGGCCATTTCCTAATGGTACTGTAAGCCAAGCAGCTCTGCTTCTGCCTGTTTCCAAGCCCACCCTTCTTCCCTGAGCTTGGGTAGGGATGGGCACTTTCCTCTTTGGAAGGAACACTCTTCTATGGCTCACAAAAAACAAAGGGGAAGTGAGGAAACCGGAAGAGGTGTGATGGGGGCTGGGGTAGAATTAAGTCCCCTGGAGCCAAGCCCACCTAGTTCACAAGAGCTGCTCAGGGCTGGATACAGCTGGCTGGTGATGCTAAACTTGAAAGTTTTGGGGTTTTTTGGCTCCTCCAAGGTGATATAGGTACATGAAGTTTAGGTTAGAGGGGTGGGATGGGGCACTTTTTATTTTTATGTTGTGTCCAGAATGACTGTTCATCTTTTGCTTTTTGCACTGTTTCCATATCTACTCTGAGCTAGTGCCAGGACTGGGAGGCTGCACTGCAGGGAGACTGACTGGGTTTGGGCAGGTGGTGAGTGATGCTACTTAGGGCTAGAGAGGGAGAGGCCTGGGTTCTGCTGGATCCACACTCTGTCCTACACCTTTAGACCCCCCTGAACCCAGATAGCCAAAACCAAGAGCTGGTGGCAAAGGTGAAACTCGCTTTTTCCTAGAAGCATGACTGTGGCTGTTTTTTGGCAGACCATGCAGAGGTTTTTGCTTAGGTGGGCTGAGTCTGCAGTCTAGCTCTGATTTGGGTCAGGGGCCAGCCGACCTCTAATCAGACCTCTTTGGGCTTTTTTACTCATGTTGATGGAAACATTGTGCCTGGACCCATGTCTCCTAAACCAGGCCTGTTTTTCTGAAAAATCTCCACTGTCGAGTAGAAGCTGTTTAGTGGGTACTTTGAGTTCTGGTGACTTGAATGATGGTTTTCTTTGTGTCAGGGGCATTAAGCTCCCAGGGGATTTTAGGACCTGCAGGGTCACCGGTTGGTTTGAGAGGTGACTTTGTTCTCTTACTCCCACTGTTTGCCTGAAAGATACTGGCCTAAAGTTAGGGGATCACATTAGAGGTCACTTAAGACTTTGAAGAGATGGTGTGAAGTTGTGTTTATCCTCCTCCTTTCTGTGCCTGGGAACTGTTTAATCCAGTTTTAGAATTGTGATTTGACTTCTTGATCATTTTGGAGAAGCTTCTGTTTTAAGGAATTTCTCTTTCTTATCCTGCCTCTACCCTCCCCTGGAAGGCCTGGCCATGGCTTCTAGAATCTCAGTTGAACTTAAGAAAACAGCAGCAGTATTTCTCCTTCCCTAGCACTTACATTCCTTTCTCTAGAAATTGGCTCACCTTGGGAAGCCCAGGGAAAGAATCAGGAGGTTCTCGACCCTCCCTGGGGATTGGGGATTGGTAACAATCCGCCCCGGTCAGCACAGTGCCTTTTCCTCTCCTGCTCTGAGCCAGGGTGGGCATACCCTCTAGATTCAGGTCTGGGCAGGGGTCTTACAGTCCCTGCCATGGGGCTGCTTCCCCATCCCTTCATCCTTTCCCCTCTTCTGGCCAGCTCTGTCCTAATTCAAGTGTCTTCTTGCCTCAAGAAACCTTAATGGCATCAAGTAGCAACATGTAATAGTGTCCTCTATGCCTCTCTGAAAGGACCTAGGAGAGCAGCTGAGCTTTCCAAAGTGAGACCTATAGATCCTCCTGTTAGAGAAAAAAAAAGGTGGGGTGGGGAGGGGGGAGGGTAAAGGAGGATATCCTTTTGGCCTCCTGCTGTGGTCCCTGAGGATGGAGTCAGGGGTGAGGCTAATTTTGTGCACTGAAGCAGAACTAGAAACAGCAAGGATCTGTTAAGAAATTGCAGATGAAATCTGCTTCTCTTCTATGGAAAGATGTAATTAGGGATCAAAGTGCTCTGAGCAAATTGCAATGAAGCCTTAATTTTCAAGCTTCAGAAAGATCAGAGTAATTTTTCCCTTTTAGTCCAAGCTAGGACTCTCCTGTACTTAGATCTCTCCTTGGGCAAGAGGGCTAGATTTCCTCATTTTATTACAAGACTAGATTGCTATCGGTGGGTCAGCTGCCCAGTGAGGAGGATTTCTTCTCTGCATGTGGTAGCTTGCTACCCATCTGCTTTGTCTTTCCCCAGCTGCCTTTGGCTAGCCATCTCTAGGTTGCCGAATCATTTTGATAAGAACATGATTTGGGGATTGGATGGGTTGGCAGAAAAAGAGCAGGATGGATCTCTTGGGGTGGTTCCCCTAGAGATATAAAATCAAGGAGCCAGGATTGTGCTGGCAGCCAGGGAAACAGTTGGCAAAGAGGGCCCTGGCATCTCTTGCTTCCAGGCAGTCTTGTGAGATGGGGGCATATAGCACCAGGAAAAGCAGAACTCCATTCTCACCTCTATTTTGAGCTTCAGTGCTTTATTTCAGTATGAGGAAAAACAACAACAAACTGAAGTGTGCTTTCTGTCCTTTCAAAGGACAACTGTCGGGCAAGGAGAGCTGAGTTGCCAGGTGGGAGGAGAGAATTGGCAGGGAGAGACGTCATGGCAACACCAGGAATGAGACGTTCTCGTCTACTCTTCCCTGTGTTCATGATCCAGGGAATGAAAAGAAATTTGACCCTGGATTAATTCCCTTAGATTTTCCTTGTACCAAATTCTACGCTAGGACTGTCTACCCATTCAGAGCTCAGGACAGCCTCTGCGGTCATTATTGGCCTAACCTGGCTTGTCAGGAAACCTAATTGCTCCTCCAGATTGGAGCCGACTGCCCTGTTTTGTACCAAGTACTGGGGAATAGTGTCAACTTCTTAATAATCCTGTAGCTCCTACTCTAGATTGCCGTCCTTTCCCCACGGAGGCCAAACCAGCGGTAGCCACGATGGCGTGCGGCACAGTGAGATGTGACCGTGGGGCTTTGAACCTGGCTGGCCCGGGAAAGCGGTGGGGGTGGATAGAGCTCTCTTTCCTTCTGGGCTGTCTCCACCTGTCCCTATCCTTTCCACGCCCCACCCTACTCCCACCAAAAAGTAAAAAAATCAGGATGTTTTTCACTGTCCATTGCTTTGTGTTTTAATAAACAATTTGCAGTGACACTCTGTGTTGGGATTGAGTTTCGGCTTGACTGCAACAAAATGAGTGATGGTGGGAAAAGGCAGACCCAGGGGGTTACCTGTCTGTGAAGGCTCTCCTGTGATGAGGCCAGGAACTTCTGACCATGTAGCGCATGTCTCTTTTTTTTCTCACTGGAGTGTTTGGTTAAAGGAATGAAGTTCTATAAAAACCTTGCCCTGGTTCTTTCAACCAGCAGTGCTACACTCAAGGAAAAATAAACTGTTATTTTGTTTTTTTCCCACTTTCACTGGGACACCAGCCCACCAAGACACAGGAGACTGGGCTGCCCCTCTCTCGTCTTTCCTCCTCTCTCCAGAGAGTCTGTGGAGAAACGCCACGGAGACTGTTTTTCTGCGTTTACCTTCTCTGGTGTGTTGTAAGTGTTAAGTGCACACGGGAAGGTCAGGAAGAGCAGAAAGGACTTTTAAGTTACCTGCCATATTTTACAGCTGAGGTAAGTTTGAAACTCAAATTTCAGGCTAGTCAGAAAATAGTCAAACCATGAATCAAATTCAATTGTTGCCTTCAAAGCCCATGTTCTTTCTAAGGCTGTGAGAATAATTATAGATATCCTTTACTGAACCCTTGAAAAGGTCCTGGCACAATGCCAAGTACTTTTACAGATGTTATCTACTTTTAATCTTTAACAAACTAGTTGATATCTGCCTCCTATTTCCCCATGATGATGTGTGACAAGGCCCAGAATCTCTCTGATATATTTTCTCCAAGCAGGGATGGCGGCTGCTAGGAGAAGGAGGAAAAGGGAGAGTTTGGCCTACGTCCCTTAGCCTTTGAAGAGCAGAATTTCAGTGCTCAGCTCTAAGGCTGAGGCCAGTGTCGATGGAATCCCTTCTCAGGGCACAAATTAGCCCAGAGGCCCACAAAGCCTTTCTTAGCTTGAGCACACTCATAAGTGGAGTTCTTTACTAACTCAGACTTAGCTGTTACTATTTCAAGTAAGCTTTGGGAGCTGCCAAATGGGGAAGAGACCTGAAGAAGGACCTACTCTAGGGAGTTGCAGGGAGGGAAACCGTCTGACAAGAGATCCTGGTCCAAGTGCTGGGGGTTGGGTTAAATCACTTGTGGGTCCAGATCTTAATCTTACTAAGGAAATCAGGCTCCCGGTTGGCTGGAGCCGCTGTGGCGGGCCTTTCTCCCTATTTAGTACCCTTCCCCATGGAGGAAGGGAGATGAGTTTCTCCAACATTTACTGGAAAGCATGTTGTGCTAGCAGTGGTATGGGGTCAAGACAAAGCAGACAAAGGTGGAACAGAGGTTCTGCACTACACTTGGCTCTCAGGCACCTCACTGCAGCTCCCTGGCCCAGGACACGCCAGTTTGTTGCCGGCCACTTAAAAGTAAAACCCCTGCTTTTTGGCTTGGGCCTTGTCCTACAACTTGCTTTCCTGGGTTACTTGAATCCATCTATTTCTTCCTCAAGGCCTGGTGCCCAGCTTGTTTCCTCTTAGCTCTGACTTGAACATTCTTTTCACATCACTCTGGTCTCCAGCTGTATGGCTTCTGCCTGTCTGCCTCCGGCAGAGAGGTGCTGGAGAAAGAGGCCACTTCAGTATACTGCCACAGCGGCCATTCATAAGACACTCCCTTGCGCCTGCATAGTGCTCTTTGTTGCTACTTTTCATCTCTTCACAGCCACCTACGACAAATACCCTATACTAGCCTGATGAAAATGAGGAAAACAAAAAGGGGTAAGTGACCTGCTCAAAGTCACAATAGCTGGTAAGTGGCAGAGAGAGACAGGGACTCAGTCCTGTGTTTCTGCAAAGCCTGTGTTCTTAATGCTATGCATTCTACTTGAAAAAGGAGCCTTTTGAATGTAGCTAACTGCTGAAGCTGGGGAGTGGTTGTGTAGAGATTTATGATGTCATTCTTTCTCTGAAAAAGTAACCTTTTAGGACTTTGTGATAAAAGAGGTACAACCATACATTTTGAGAAGTTATATGAGTGCAAAATGAAAACTCATCGTTCTTTTTCCCATCTAATTCTTAGAGGCTAGTACAGGTGAAGTGGCAGTCTAGTGTCTGTCATTTGTTTCATAGCTACGTAGATAGCTATCGATAGATATAGTGCACATGTGCAAGGTTTTTGTTTTTTTTTTTGACACAAGCTATGCAACCTCTGTTGTCAGACACTGTACGGATGGAGAGGAAATGCTCTGAAAAATCAGACTTTCCACTGCTAACTTATGTTATGACTTCCCTTTTTTGTATAATTGTAATATCAAAATATTCTGAGCAACTTTCAGCTTACAATTGGATTGCCTCAGCCGCATAAGGCCTGCCGTGCACATGTGCAAGGTTTTTGTTTTTTTTTATTTCCATTAAGGGAATACTGGGTCCAACAGTATACATTTAAAGATTTGGAAAAATTGCCGTCAATAAGGCTACATGAGTTTTTCAGTCACTCATCTTGTGCTATATGAGCATGGAACATGTCAGAAATCACTTTTGGAAACAGGTGGGATATAAATACCAGATTCACGCTTTTAAAAAAATAAATTCTTCTGCCAGAGAGAGAAGTGACTTGGGTACTGGGGAGTTACTAGTTCTCCAGCCCAGGACACAAAGCATGCCTGCAGTCCCAAATAGGACTGGCTGACTGGATGTGTGCCACCTTTAGGGAGGCAGCAGAAGGGAGGACTAAACTTCCCACTCTTGGCAGAAAAAACGTTCTAGGATGTCTCGCTTACCTTGGCTGCACCGGCTTTGTGTCAACCCCAGCTGCCTGCCTGATGGGAGGCAGACCGCTGGCTACTCTAAGGCCGCCCTGGAAAGCAGTCACACCCCTTCCAGTGGGGAAATACCAGCTGAGGGAGAGGGGTGATTCACAGAGCACTGGCTTTTCTACTTTCTGCTTGTCTCCCTGTGCCTATCCCAGGGAAACCTGGGAGTGCTCTCTAATATAGTAAATCTGTATGTGTGTGCTCTTCCAAAAATATTTAAAAATTTTTTGACACATTTTGGTAAGAGTTGGTGAGAGACAGAGACAGATTGGAATTTACAGCCCTGATTTTTCTTTTTGGTATATATATTTTATTCTAAAGACAGTCTTTTTCTTTTTAATCACAAGTCATAGGCAGTGATGAGAGTAGGCCCTGACTTCCTTAGATGAAGGAATTTTATTTTTAAAAATTGACAAAATGCTTTTTAAGTTTAAAGAGGAAATAAGGAGACTCTGGCTTAGAGTCTGCTTTCTAAGATCCTAAGATACTTTGTTTTTAGAAAAACAAAGAGGCAATTGTCCCAAGACTGCCCACCTATGTCTTTGCAGCTACTTTTTTTTTCCCCCTAGTAAAGCTACTGTGAATACAAAATAATCAAACAAAAAAATTAATCAGTTCATATGCATGTGATCCAGTAGTACAGAAGTAGCTTTCAGTGGTGTTAATATCCCACTTTAAACCCTTCCATTGCTCTCTTCACCAGAGGGAATCACTGTTAACAGCTAAGTGTATATCCAGAACTCTCCCTTTGCAGTTACAGATGCACTCAGATTCTTTTTATTTTAATCACTTAATATTTTAATCACTTAATCTTTGTGATTTCCCCATACTAGACAGAACAGGTGAATCATTCTTTTTAATAGGTGCATGAATGAATGCAATTGCAATTATTGTAATTCTTCAGAGTTACACATCATCCCACAGTAAACATCTTTATATATACATGTAGGCTGAATAACTGGATGTGGAATTTCAAGTAAAGGGGTCAATACCTTTGTCATTCTGAGAAAGATAAATAACTCTAGGCCTGGTATTCTAAAAACAAAGTTTCAGTGAACAAGTGAGTGGGAAATGACTGCATGCTACGCCCCCTCTTGGCAATTCAGAAGTAGCATATTAGAAGTTCTAGAAATTCTTCAGCAATTACTCACTGTTCAGTGGTTTTTAAATGTACTCAGAACAGTCGTGTATAAGTAGCCTCGGCGTTTAAAAAAGAGTTGTTTGCAAAGGGAAAGACTAAGTTTGTACACATGTATTAAAATTTCCATGAACACTGTGGTAAGTTTCCCTAGTTGGTAATCTCTCAAAGACAGGACAGCATTTAGATAGGAACTTGGCCTGGGTGGAGTCAGGCTTGTATTTTGTGCAGGAACTGGCTAGGCCTGTCAGCCCCTCCCAAGTCCCTCACATCAGGTGAGGGAACCAGCCAGGCTTGACATAAATCAAGTCTCCAGGCTGACCATGAGGAGAGGGATAAAGTTTCCTCTTGGCTAATATCTGGCTGAGAGGTAACTTATCTAGGAGACACAACTTTGCGTCAGTCAGGCCAGCCTCCAACATGGGGGCGTGGATACAGAATTCTAGATCTGAAGCCACTTGGGATGTGATAGACCAAGACCCTAAGGCCACACCTGTGCAGCAGCTTTGCGGTGCCCCCTGGAGCAGTGCACACTCTGGTTTGTCTTCTGTTCGTTTATACTAACAGGTTGGTAGAGGAAGGCCCACATAATGAATTACGGGCCTCGCCGTCTGGCGGCCCCACGCCCCCGGCCGCTTTTTCTTATATTCCCTGAGGGTAGCCTAGCCCAGCGTCTGTGAGAGGCACAGGCTGCCTGGGCCTAGTGAGCGCTGTTTTACCTTCCATCTGTGCTGCACATTAGGGAATATTTTCTCGGTGCCCTGTCCACACACGGTCATTTCACCGTACGATATATCTTTAGAACATTCGGGGTGGTCTCGGGGGCCTGGCGCAGTCTGGGGGGTACGACCCCTGAGCCCCACCCCCACCCCCGCCCCGCGCGGGGCCACCCCCTGGCTGGACCAAACTGGGGGAGGGCCCGCCCCGCCGGCCCCGCCCCGCCCAGGTGCCGCCTCGGCCCCGCCCCCGCTCTCCATAGTTACGGCGCGGTGGAGGTGGCGGCCATCTTGGCGGCGGAGCGATGAACGGGTCCAACCCGAAGGCTGCGGCCGCAGGCTCGGCGGCCGGGCCCGGAGCGCTGGTGGCTGGCAAAGAGGAGAAGAAGGCGGGCGGCGGCGTCCTGAATCGGCTCAAGGCGCGGCGGCAGGCGCCCCATCACGGGCCCGACGACGGCATCGGTGCAGCGGTCACGGAGCAGGAGCTGCTGGCCCTGGACACCATCAGGCCAGAGCACGTCCTGCGCCTCAGCCGAGTCACGGAGAGTGAGTGCCGGGCCCGCCGCGCCCTCCCCTCGCGCCAGGCTGGAGCCCCTTGCAGTCTTCGGCAGAACCGGCAGCTCGCGGCTCGACCGGCCGGGGGTCGACTCAGGCCCCCGGCAGGCCAGGCCGCGCCGCCCACTGCTCTTCCGGGTCGGGTCCGAACTCCCCACCCTCACCTAGATCTGGTTGGAAAGGTTCCCCCTGAGCTTGACTTTGCCCCCTGGGTCAGGCCAGGCCGGGCTCCCCCGGGCCGGCGCCCCAGTTGGGCCGTCAGGCCAGGCCCATCCCCTCCTCAGCGGGATCTGCTTGGTTACGGGCCCCCTTCAGCCTGCTCGGTAAGTGGGCCTTGGAAGCCCTCCGCGGCCAGTGGTGAGGGTCCCGCGCCAGGCCGCCCGGCCGGCCTGTCCCCTGCCCTGCAGCCCCCCTCCCTGCTGCCTTCTCGTGCGTCCCCTCCACTTTGCCGGGTGACAGACTCTGCCCGCTTTCCGGCCTGCCGTGGGACCCGACTTTGGTGCGAAACATTGCCCATGTATGTGCAGATGGGGTCTTCCTCCCTCAAATGCCTTGCCTGGGCATGTCTTGAAAATTTAAAGTATCCATAAAAACAATATTTTAATAAAGTTTCAGTTTATGTACAAAATCCAAATTGTGAATCTTGCTTTTCCCAGATGTTCTAGTGAATTAAGGATTATGTCAGGGTCTCAGAAATGCCCTTCTTGCATAGAATGCAATCATTCACCTTTTCGTCGATATAAGGGAGTGTGGAAAGAAATATTGGCCACCCCTGTCCTGGATTTCTTCTCTTGCTGTTCCCTTTCACGCCAATTCTTGACTCTTTCTCTAGCTGCTGTTTTCCTCCAAGAGTTTGCAGTCTCCTGGTTAGGACCCACTTCTGCTCTCTTGCTCCTCCCTCTTCCCACCCTGGATCTACACCTGCCATAGAGTCCTCAGCTGAATTACTTTAATAGTCAGCCCAGGGCTGCTCAGTCTACTACAGGGCCCTGGTGGCAGCTCAGGTGATTTGGGGAGGGGTGTCTTGGTGGAGGGGCACCTTGATCCCACTTATATGAAAGGGAATTCCCATTTCCTGAGATATTTTTAATTTGATTCTAGGTGTTTTGATGTCCCCATTTCCCCTCACTGTTTGGTCGGGACTGTCTGTGGAGTGGCTGAAAGTGCTTTTAGAAGGTCTTGCTAGTCCGTGTTATGACAACATGTGGAAAAGCGGCATCTGTCCTGACCCAGTTTTTACTTGGGGCTCTGAAAGTACAGAAATGCTCAGCACCTGACCGTTGCAGCCTCATGATTTCTTCTGATATCAGGAGGTCAGTCAGGGCATTGTAATGCCTGGATCTAATATTAGTGGCATTCCTCAGGCACTGTAGAGGACCTTGGGATTGGTACTGTTGCTCGAACTTACCTCTGTAGCTAATTGGGAGAAAGCCACAGTCAGAGTTAGGTGATCTCTGTGCTCTGTCGACACTCTTCTTAAAGTTTGCTCCTTTCAGCAAATATTTTAAGTACCTTTTACAGGTACACAACTGCTCAGCCTTTTTGGGGTTACAGAGGGATCGGTAGCTCTGCCATCTTCCTGGGAAAATAACCTGTACAATGTGAAACAGCACATGGAGGCAACATAAGGTAAGGTGCTGAAATGTGTTGTGGAGAAGATGCAGTCGAGAGTCATAGTAGAAAGAAATCGATGGATTTTCTATGATCAGTATTATTGTGGTTCGCTGCTCAGAGTGCGGGAGGTCTTACTTCACTTTGAGGTATGCCCCTGCAGGTAAATCTTTCCTGTTACCTGTATAGGTATGGTTTGCCCCATACCTGGTTTTGAACAGCTTACAAGCTAAGGATGATTTTTAACGTCTTATTTGTTTTTTAAAATATTTATTCAATCCCCCATGAGGGAGCTGACCCACATGCTGCAGATGACCTCTCCTGACCCGCCCGCTGCTCCCCTCAGCAGAGTGCTTCAGTAGATCTGCTGTTCTGCTCCCTACTCTGTCTCTAGTGGATACTCTCACCCCTTGCATCTCTGACCTGTATCTCTCTGCTTGTATGCATAAATAAACAGATCTTTAAAAAAAAGAGAGAGAGAGAAAATAACCCTGTATTCATTCACTTGTGTTTTGTCTGGCTGTTTGCACTACAGTGACAGTGGAGATTGTGTGAGCTCAAAGCCTAAATTACTTGTGACCTGGCCCTTCATAGAATAGTTTGCTGGTCTTTGCTTTAAGGTGCTCCCAGCTGGCCAACAAGCACTGTATTAGCCACTGAGTCCATGTTTCAAAGTGGATTCTTAAAAAAATTCTGTCCTGTTGTGACCTCCATGTTGCTAGAAATCATGCAGGCCACTTTTGAGATGCTCCTGAAGAAGTCCCCTTTCTATTCCTGTTTGTGCAAGGTTTCCATCCAAACCCAACGCAAGGTCTTTTTTTCTTTCTTAGATGCTTAATTTTCTTGACAGTTTTGCTTATAACATCAAAGAGAGTTTTGGATTATATTTTAAGTGAACATGTAAGAAAAATAAGTTTGCTTTAAAATTTGAGGACTAAAAAGATGATAGTTTGGAGAGTTATTTAACAGCATTGGTCTCTCTCTCTCATTTTCAGATTATTTATGTAAACCCGAAGACAACATCTACAGTATTGATTTTACCCGCTTCAAAATTCGAGATTTGGAGACAGGGACAGTACTATTCGAGATTGCCAAACCTTGTGTTTCAGGTAGGCCTCTATATTGTCACTGTCACTTGACATTTGGAGCAAAAGTTCTTTGGAGCTTGAGTTTTCCCGCGTGCCCTTATATCCCGTGTCATGGACTCCAGCGCCCCCTTGCGAGACCTCCTCACATTACTCGTGCCATCGGGTGTGCTGGTTGGAAGAGGTACTGAGAGTTTGATGTGTGGGGAGCATCGACTTGATTCTGGTCCTCCCCTTTCTGTTTATAACTGCTCAGGTAACCATCCCATCTCAGGGAGGAATTTTTTTTTTTAAAGATATTTATTTATTCGTACAGAACTGGGGTACAGGCCAGAGATGCGGAGGGTGAGCGGATTCACCAGGGACAGAGTGGGGTACAGAACAGGCAGATCGACGAAGTACACTGCCGAGGGGAGCAGTGGGCGGGTCAGGAGAGGTCTGCCGCACCATGTGGATCTCCTCCGCACCATGTGGATCTCCTCCGGGGCTAGGAGGGGATCGAACTCATGCGGAAGTGGCTTTAGCTTCTTAGTGCTGTGCTTTAACCCTCTGCGCCACCAGGGAGGGCCCTCAAGGAGGGCCCTCAGGGAGGAATTTTTTTTTTTTATTACAAAAGTTTATTTTTACATCATTTTGTACATTTTTTTTCCCATCTCGATTGTAATCCCCGCGGGTTTCCCATCACCAAATCACCCGTGTGCCATCACCATAATCCCGTGCATTTCTCTCCCCCCACTCAGGGAGGAATTTTTAATCCCACTTTACAGGTAAGGAAACCCCTGCTCAGAAATTCCCCGTGACTTTCCTAAAGGTCCTGTGCTCTTTTATCTTGCTGTAGTCTCCAGTTAGGAAAGGAGTCCTTGAAACTAGACTGTAATGAAGAAAGCCAACCTGAGCGTGAATCTCAGGAGTCTCTGGAAGGGTGACACTGAGGGCTCCACTTGACACTCTGAGACAGTGTCTCTCTGCTCTGCAACTCTCTTTTCTTTAGAAAGTGCCTCACATTACCTAGGAAGTTTGGTTTGGATTTTAATCGCCACCATTTTTTGGTTGAACAGGAAGCCCACACCTGTGAAGTCATCTGTTTGGGCTTGCTTAAATTAGCCCTGAATAGACCCTTCCTGTGCTTGCCAAGCAGTTCCAGGGTGATTTATTTCTGGCTGGAGGACCGCACAGAAGTCTTTGGAGCAATTGCTAGAGATTTAGCACCCCCTGGAGTTAGATATTAGAAAGCACAGTTACCCTTCAGAGTGTGGACTGCGGTTAGTATCAATACTTCTTTTTGCAAAGCTTTTTCCCCATCTGACTTGCTACTTGGGAAAAACCAGTAAATTAGGGAAAGTAGGCTTTAGGAGCGCAGGTAAATCAAAGGCCTCCCTGGGAGGCCGCAGCTCAGATTAATCACAAACCACAGCTAGAGACCGGTCTCCCCCACTCCACGTGCTGTCATCCAGTGCTGACCAAAGCGCCTGGGCCTAGGGGTTCAGGTCTCAGGCAGCTGGCTTCCTGGCCTCTGTTCACATCCCTAAGCTATGTGTGTCCTACTGGGTAGTGGACTTGGGTCAGAATGGACTCGGGGTAGTCACTTCAGTCCAGAACTGAGCTGTCTGAAGTTCATCTGTAGACATTGTCAAGTATCTTGTATTTTGAGCTTTCCAGTTTTTACACTGGAAAACTAAGTGAACTGGATCTTAGTTCACTTAGGAATCAGCATCCCCCTTCAGCGTCGATCTGATGAGTTCAGACGCTTGGGAGGCGTTCTTGTGACAGTCGCTGAGTCTCACGGTTGAACTGGAGTGCTTCGGTCTGCTTGTCCTGCTGCTCTTGGGCTTTCATGGCAAAGATATTTATAGTTTAAAGACTTTATGTTGCATGCACACTGAGCCTAGGCCTGAAGAAAAGCATCCTTGTGGGACACTGCCCACATTAGAATGATTTTCTCATTCATTTTGCAAATCAGCACTTACAAATCAGTGGGTTCAGGAATGGACAAGGCCAGAGACCATTGCGGAGCCTCGTTCAGGCCCCACACATGTGTTGTTGCTCATCTGCTTCACCCTTTCCGGGCCAGTGCTCTTGGGCAGTCATCCAAAGAAGTGCAGTATCCTAAGACCGCAGGCCCATCTAAATAGCAATTACTTCTAGGGATTAGTCTTTGCTGCCTGCCTTACATTTTTTAAATATTTGAGAGTTATTTGACTAGTTTTGATATGTGTAGTCTCATTTTGGTTAGTGGCTAACACTTCAGCAGCAGACCAAGTCTCTACAATGTAGGCCACTCTAGGGGCCTCATCCCCAGCTTGTGTTATGCTACCTCAGGCTTTAGCCTGAGCCCCCCCAGGTTATTAAAGGGCAATGCTTTTTAGCTCTGTGTTTCAGAAGATATCAAGTCAGGTGGCTCTGGGTTCAAATCCCTGCTCTATCTGCTTACTATTCTGGGGACTATGGACATGTCACTTAACTTCCCTGACCTTGAGCTTCCTGATTTGTGAGATGGGGCTGTGAGTCCTTTGGGTGTTTACTTGGGGCCCGGCACCAGCAAGTGGGGCGTGAGTGCTGGCCGTTGCCCCTGCTGGTACTTCCAGCTGCGTGTGCTGCTGTCAGAACTGCGGTGCTGCCTTGGTGCCTTCAGGACGCTGTGTGCTCTTTCAGACCAGGAGGACGACGACGACGAGGAGGAGGAGGGTGGAGACGTGGATATCAGCGCGGGACGATTCGTTCGCTATCAGTTCACACCAGCATTTCTGCGCCTCCGGACAGTCGGGGCTACGTGAGTACCCTTCTTTCCCCAGCGGAGAGTGCTGCTTGTTCACACAGAGGAACGTTGGGGTCATCTTTAGAGGCGGGAAGAGGCATACTAGGGCTCATGGAGATGTATTTTGCAGGGTGGAGTTCACAGTAGGAGACAGACCTGTGACTAACTTCCGGATGATCGAACGGCACTACTTTCGGGAACGCTTGCTGAAAAACTTTGACTTTGATTTCGGCTTCTGCATCCCCAGCAGTAGGAACACATGTGAACATATCTATGAGTTTCCCCAGCTCTCTGAGGATGTCAGTACGTATCTCCTGACTTTTATTACATTCTAGACTCAGGGCTAGAGGAAATGAACCTTAAAATCTATCTGATTCAACGCCCTGGTGTTGTAGAGCAGGGAAATTGTGACATGATGCGCATCTAGTCATTCGATCTCAGGCTTCTCATTTCCTGGTGCTCCTGCCTGGTGTTTCAAGCCCTGAGTGCCTATAGGGGCCACTGAAGGTTTTAATAACATAGCTCATCCTTTTTATTTATTTATAAAGATTTATTTTTATATTTATTTGTTTATAAAGATTTATTTATTTATGCATACAAGAGCTGGGGTGGAGGCTAGAGGGGCAAGGTGGGAGGGGTGAGAGGAGTCACCAGAGACAGAGTGGGGAGCAAAACTGGTGGATCCACTGACATACACTGCTGAGGTGAGCAGTGGGGAGACATGTAGGTCTGCTGCGCCATGTGGGTCAGTTCCCTGGCAGGGCAGCTAACTTGTGCTGCAGTGGCTGGGAATAGCTTTGTAGTGCTGTGACTTAACCCATTGTGCCACCTGGGAGGCTCCTGTAGCTCACATTTTATAGATGCCTGCTGTGGGTAAGGGACTGAGTGAGCTAAGAGGAGCTGTGATAATTGAGGGCCTCATAGATAAAGTGCCTGTCCTCTGCAGTGTTAATCGTAGTTTTCTACTTGGCTCTAGTCATTGGCTCCTGCTTGGCACTGTGTGGCCTTTCATTGTTTCCTTCATCAGAGTAAGATGTATGATTACAGGTTACGTACAGTCATAATTCTGAGGACCTTCCCTTTCTAATTCTCTGTAAGTAGGTTGATTCAATAGACTGTTAGACTCACCCAGTAGGAAGTAAGGAGCAGTTAGAGGTTGCAGGCAGGATTGACATGGTGGAAGCAGCGTCTTAGGAACAAGAATCCTGTAGCTCTGTGGAGGAAGACCAGGGACAGGCACCAGAGGGAGATTGCTGGGCAAGCAGAAAGAACAGGCTTTACCTAGGACATTGGTCTCATAGCTCAGGTTAGCATGGTGTCAGTAATTAGGGAAGATGGCTCCAGAACCTTGAGGACCTGAGTGTTTAGCTGGGCTGCGGGGGAGGACATACATACACATTAACTAATTTTCTCAAAAATCCCAAGTCCTGAGAATTGTCATAGTTGAGAACCAGGTATTCTTCACTTGTATGGCAGTGTTGTTCCCAGGTGAAATGTGGGGTAGGGTGTTGATGACAGCCACTGACCCTGGTTTGAACCCCACTCCCCAACTTGGGCTAGAATAGGTAGGTACTTGCAATAAAAGATTATGCTGGTTTATATCCAAGGTAATAAAACTTTTCTTGTTGAAACTAAACAAGCTAAAGAGTGTGAAGGTAAATATTGTAGATACAAGCCAATTAACTTTGGCCTCAGTTGGTTTACAGAACTTTAAGCAGTTTTACCTTTGTAGAACAGCAGTGAACAACAGCCTTCTCTGGAAGCTTCCCTATAATAGCATGTCAGTGTTAACTCAGAGCCGATTGGAGGTGTTATGACTTGACCTGCCAGTCTAGTGAGCAGTCGGGACTGTGGCCTGAATAAACATATTTGAGTCTGGACCCCACGACAGGCAAACCTTTAGCTAGATGTTTGTGAGGTGAAAACTGACCCATCTCTGGAGAAGGCCTTGCCCATTGACCTGCCCTCACGCACATATAGGGCTCCTGTAGCTGGCATGGCATCTTTGAGCAGTGGCATAGTGAGACACAGCTGTGTTGGGTCAGATTTTGAGCCAGGTGGGGAAATGCCAAAGGTAGGAGTGAGGAAGCTCCTGTGGTCCCTGCTGAGGAAGGGCAGGCACATGTTCTTGGGGACTGACAACAGGCTGGCTTTGACCAAGGACGGCCCTGGCAGAGAGCCGACTACATTCTCACGGGGAAGTGGACATTATGTACGGTTGAGGGGCTTCTATGGTCCCCGTTTCTCCACAGCTCTCAAGGGCTGACTTTATTCTCACCTCGTTGTTCTGGCAGTAATATGCGCGCTCTGTGGAAGGACTGACTTACCAGTTTTTCCCACCCTCCAAGGGGGCAGACTCACACACCATTCTTTGCTTTTTTTCCTTTCCCTGACTTGCAGTTCGTTTGATGATTGAAAATCCTTATGAGACTCGTTCTGACAGCTTCTACTTTGTTGACAACAAGCTGATAATGCACAACAAGGCCGATTATGCCTATAATGGAGGCCAGTAACCGCTGCAGGAGTGAAGAGGGGCAGTGCTTTGCTGTGGCCAAAGGTCCTGGCACGTGGAGGTGACTGACACTGCTGATGGTGAACTCGTCTGGAACTGGCCTCGGCAGCCCCGGCTGGGTGACGGTTTCCTGTGCTCCCAGAGAGGTGCCAAGCAGGGCTGTGTTTTCTCCCCAGTATTTTTTCTTCCCTCCCCCCCCCCATCCGTTTGGTCGCAGAGGTACTGTAATGAAGTGAAAGGTTAGGATTAGACTGTTGGGATCCAGATCTTAAAAAAGTTTATTTTCATGTCATTCTAGCTGCCTGCTGGTGGCCTTGGCGAGCTTCGGTCTCCCCGGTGTCTGTGCTGGGCTGAGACGGCCCTGCCGGCTGCCCGTAGGTTAGCAGCTCCGGTAGGTGCTAGGTGCTGTGAAAGCTGACAGCCAGGCTCCTCCCGGGCAGCTCCCGCTCTCATCCGATGTTGCCATCAGCACAAACTGACCTCCGCCTGTGCATCATCCTAAACCAATCAGGAAGAAACTTGAAACGGGGAGGAGGAGAAGAGTGGGGTCAATGCGGAGCCCCGGTGCTGGTAAGGCTGCCCAGCCACAGGACTCCTTTGCGGGGGGCCGGCTTCTCTGTCCCACTTCCAGGCCCTCAGTCAGTGCCGTGGGACTGCAGCAAGGTTCAGCCTGGCAGTGTTTTCCTGTTCCTGTTCTGGAGGAAAGCTGAGCTTGCTCTGCTGCTCTTGGCTCCCAGTTTTGAGTACCCCCAGCAATAGAATGTGACAGTTTTCTCTTGCAACAATAGTATCTCCCAAGGCCAGAGCAGTCTTCATTGTGTTTTGTCCTTGGTTTCTAGACTGCTCTTGGGAGGGTTTTATGCAGCGCAGTGGGGCTGCTAGCGTTGACATGTGGTTGATGTCTGGCAGCACTAAGGGTGCCCAGGGCGGCTCTGCCTCCTATCAGGCAGGGCGAGCCCACAGGACAGCCTGGAGGGTTGGCTGTTGGTGGGGATTTGCTTCTGAAATTCTTTGTAGTTTTCTCATTGAGGATGATTTTCCTCTCTGCCTTTTTACTAGTTTCTGGGAACATCCTGAAGGACTCAGCCTAAGTAATGCATATTTTTCTGATCTTTCAAACAGCTAGCTTGGCATTTTTTGGAAGGGGTGACATAGGCAGAGGTCAGACAGCTGTGTTCTCAGAAGAGCTCCCTTGCACATCTGTGGGCTTCTTTGTCCTCAGGCCGTTACTGGAAAGACCTTTGCCGCCTCTAGCCTGTGTTTGTCTGACTGTGGGTGGCTGTAGGTGTTCAGCCCAAACTCCTCCGGTAAGACTTGCTGTGGCCGGGATTTGGCTATGATGGAAAGGTAGCCTAGGGTCCTGGGTGTGTGATGATAGTCCCTGGGAGGTGTCACAGTAGCGACAGGAGAGCTGTCCTCCAGGGTGCTGGGGAAGGGCCGTGGGGCCAGGAAAGAAACCCCTGCGCATTCACTGAAGAGGTGTCCCTTCCCGTTTGCATCCTGGAGGAGTGACCAGTGTTTTGTGCTGGCCGATGCTGGCAGCCTTTCACAGAGCAAGCCCTAAATTACCCTGTGTGCTGGCACTGGATCCGACACTGAGGCAGAGGGGAGGCCACGTGCCCTGGTTATTCACCACCAGCCCGGTGAATCTCAGAACTGGAGTCCACGCCTAATCCCGGTGCCTTAAGTGAGGCCCTGCTGCACACGCTGCTGCGCGGGGCGCTGCCTTGCCCCCTTCTCCCCCCCGTCCCCCTCTGCAGCAGGCATCAGCTCTGCCCCTGTACCTTCTGGGTCTCCTCGTGGCTTGTCTCACGTAGGCTGGCTCGGGTGGTGTTCAGAATACCCCTTCTTTCTGCGGCAGAGCCTCTGTGGAGGGTGTCTGCTGTTTAATCATTAGCTGGGGTGTGGCTTCTGGAGCTGCCCAGAGTTTTGCTCCGTGGTGCAGACTGTGTCCTTTAGGCCGGTGGACTCTCTTACCCACAGTGTTAACTTTTGCATGGAGGAGCCCAGGAGAGCAGGGGGCCAGGCGCTGACCTTGAGAGTGCCGTCTCCTCTCCCCTCGCTTGCCTGGAGGCCGCCCGGGGGCCAAGTTCTCCATCAGGCCCAGCAGGGCAGGGTTCGCCACCTTCTGCGCCTGAAAGTCCTGTGCTCTGTCTCTGGGCCTGCATGCGTGTTTCTGGCTACTCAGGACATCTGGAGAAGTATTACCCCTCTGGAGTGTTAACCAGGATGAGCTTGAAATTCAAACTTTTTATAGTGAATTGGGGAGGGAATAGGAAGTCTTACTTTTTCTGAAAATAATAGAACCAAATCAGACGTTGAATCAGGAGGCCATTCTGTTATGAAAACTGGATTATTCATAGCTGTTACCTTGTGGGTGATAAGTGCAAGGAAAAGAACTCCTCGGGTGGGGAAACCACCCCCCTGTGTAGTGCTGGCATCTGAGGGGTGACTCCTGCAGGGAGCACGTTCCAGCAGACTGGTGGGTCCAACCTGGTGTGTGTGTGGGGGGGCTGCTGCCGTGCCCCTTGCCTGGCTTGTTGCTTGCTGTGCCTCGGAGACTCTGGGAGAGCGCCTCTCTTCCCCTTAGCCTTGGGCTTCTCCAAGGACAGCCTGGTTTATTTCATCCTGTTTTCTGAAAAGCAGACAGGAAGTAACAACCAAAAGCAGTTTTGGGCCCCAGTAGGTTGCCTCTCCTGCGGCCCCCTGTGGAGGCAGCAGTGTTTCCGAGGACCCCTGGCCGGACACCTGGCCGTCTGGGCAGGGGTGAGGGGACGGTGGGGCCGACTACAGGCTGTGCCTAATGTACAAGCCCCGGGAGACTTGCCTTATTGTGTCCTGCCCCCCTGCTAGACCCCCAGGGCACCCTTCTGTGAAGTCACTTTCTTCTGGTGGCCTTTGTCACCATGGCGTCAGTGAGGTTTGGGGAGTGGGCATAATCCGCCCAAAAATCACAGCACGCACTTCTCACCTTCTTGCTGGGGGGGTTGTGGTGCAGAGGGTGCCTGTGCCTGAGGTAGGCACCTCATTGTCAAGTCACTTGTCAACAACATTCCATTCACAGAGCATCCTAGCCACAAGAAGGGTCTGGTGGAGGTTGACTTACCCCTTGTTTTACAAAGGATCATGTAAAGTCATTGAAGTTGTGAAAGTCTATTTTTTTCCCTGTAATTCTATTTTTCACAGAATATAAGGAACATCAATGACCTGATCTGTTGCCCTTCTCTTTCCCCTTCACCTGAGATCCTCATTCCAGTTTGTATTATCTTTGTGTCTAAAGTAAACTAGGTGACTTATTTGTATAAAATGTTATTTTGCCACAAGAAATCATAATAAAAAAAGATTTTCACAGCACATGTGATTTTTGTCTCTTGATTGGGCCCTTGAATTGCTGAGGGGGAGGGTGGACAGGAGGTGAGGGATGGCTCTGGTTTTTTCCCCCAAAGATTTTATTTTATGTGTACAAGAGCTCAAATATAGGCCAGAGATGCAGGGGTGCGGGTGGGAGGGCATGATGAGAGGATTCACCAGAGCCAGAGTGAGGAGCAGAACAGGCGGATCTACTGAAATACACTGCTGAGGGGAGCAGCAGGTGAGACAGGAGAGGTCTGCTGGGCCATGTGGGTCAGCTCCCTGGTGGAGGATAGAACTCATGTCCAACTCATGCAGCAGTGGACGGTGGAAGCTTCAGTGCTAAGACTTAATCCCTTGCACTACCAAGGAGGTTCAGGATTTAGAGGGCTTAAAAAAATGTATTTCTTTTTAAGTGAAAGATAAGGACTGTATCTTTTGATTGATGTCCAGCAAGCAGAACCAGGTCTTGGGGGAAGATAATTCTTTGGTAGGGTTCAGTGCTTGGGACACATACTGGCTGAGTCATGGAGGGAGAAAGCAGTTGGGAGGGTGTGGTGGTGCCTCTGAGGCTGTGGAAGAACTTTGCAGGCAGGTGACCTCTCCATAGCTTCTTGGGCAGGGTGAAGACATTCTGGTGAGGATGCTAAGGACCAAATGCATAGCATTGAGACAGAGCCCCTGTTCCTGAAGGGGCTCTACCCCAAAATGGGGGTGAGAGAGATGAGACTATGGTGGAACAGGGAAGTCGCTCCCCTTCCCCCTCCCCTCCGCCCCCCACCTTCACAGTCTCTGAGGAAAAGAAATCTCCTTCCCAGGCCATCAATTCCCTGGGTATTGAGAATCAGAACAAGACAAGACCTGTGCTCTGTTGAAACTCACAGACTAGCGGCGGGCCCAGACACCAAATGCCACCGATAACAAAATAAAAATGCGATGGAGAGGGTGCCGAGTCAAGCCCTGGGCCCCTGTGGTCAGTGCAGGCCTCGGTGAGTGAGCGGTAGGTGAGCCTTGGAGAGGCGGCTGGCGCGAACCAAAGGTGGGAACAAAACTGCGAGCGCCCAGAGGGAGGCGCAGGCGGAGCAGTGAACAGCTGCCTAGGGTGGCTGGGCAAAGGCAGCCAGGGAAGGGTGGCTGGCGGTCGGAGAAGCGGGGAGGGGTCACAAGGCGCGCTGGGGGCCGCGGGTTTAGGCTTTCGCAGCGACGGCGCCCCGGGAAGACTTCCAGAGACCGCAGGCGTTCGGGAGTGGGGTTTATCTCCCGGGAGGGAGGTGGCGAGGCTCGGGAGGAGCCGCAGCTGGCCCCGCCCCCTGAGCCCGAGGGGCGGGGCCCTGGTCCTCGCCGGCTCCGCCCCCTGATCCCGAGGGGCGGGGCCCTGGTCCTCGCCGGCCCCGCTCCCTGAGCCCGAGGGGCGGGGCCCTGGTCATCGCCGGCTCCGCCCCCTGAGCCCGAGGGGCGGGGCCCTGGTCATCGCCAGCCCCGCTCCCTGAGCCCGAGGGGCGGGGCCGCTGGTCCTCGCCGGCCCGCTCCCTGAGCCCGAGGGGCGGGGCCCTGG